CGTAACCGATTTCGTTTATTCGCCTCGATTGTTGCATTTCCGCGACAACTGTTCAAATTTCCACAACGATGTCTTTGCGCAACGTGATCGTGGACGTTAATGTATACATCTCTCTGTTCTCCACCGCGAATATATAATTAATCCTACCGATATGCAACAATGTACCGTGCAATCTTGAATCTTCGTAACGCAAATAATAAGGTTCAATGCTAAAGCGAATTTGCTTTATAATAAGAAATTTAAGAAATAACAAAAGGAAGAAGCGTGTGCTCAACATTTTTTTTTTTCCTACGTAAATTTAAGAAGGAATGTTTCGAGTTCCTTCTTGTCTTTCGTCTTGTTTCTTGTTTTGCTTGACGCGTATTCCCGAGTCAAATCTATCGATCAACGTTATACGATAGTCAGATTCTCTTCGAAACTCTCTCCCCCTCTCCCTCAAAATTTCGTCATCCTCTCATTTATAACGTTAACGGAGTAAGAATAAAATACAATTCGTTACCATCATCTTGAGAGAGATACATAAAACGGCGGCAGTTGATCTTTGACGTCATTTCGTAATTGGAAAACTAGCCTAGTACATTCGAAATGGTCGACCTCGGTTAGAAACACGACGACACGTGCCCACAAACAGTCGGATCTATTAGTCTCGTGCGTGCAAGAAAACTGGTTCCCGGAGCGGGAATATTTAACGACGGAAATCGGTCGATGGTCGTTGGTCACCTCTCCTTCCTTGAACGCGCGGAATATGCATCCGCGCTTCTGCAATTTGCATACTTTGCCACCTACCTACCAGGTTGATCGCACGTTAAACCGGGCAAAGGGATAAATCGTTGGCCGGCGTTGGCGAGACGAGAGAACGGGGTCCCGGGCTCTCCCCCTCTCCGTGGTTGGTTGTTAAAGCGGCCAGGTTAAAATCGGGCTACTCTCGTCGAGCGTGATCGAAGGTTTATCGGAGTCTGCGGCAAAGGCTTTAATAATCATCGCGTTATTCCACCAAAGTTTCGCTCGTCGTTCCACTCTCAGCTCTCTGCTGAAATTTTGTCACGTAATTAAGGCGCAGTTTGACGCATGACGATGGGATTAAACTTTCTCTCTCCCTCGCACAATTTCCTCATTCCATTCCCTTCCTCGCTCCCTTTCTCGCTCCGCTCCTTGTTATTTCGTCGTGCGCGCCGATCTTCCCGATATCCCCACCAAGCTTAACCGACTGTAATCTGTTCGACGCCTCGCAACTTGCCGGATGCTGGATTTTCGCGACTCGGGACGATTACGGAAGGGCGGACGCGTGTTTAGAATATTAATTGGCCCCGGTTTAGAGAAATCAGGGGTGGGTGGGTGTGTGTGTGCGCGCACGTGGCGTGCGAAGCACGAGGTGGAATCCCTTCGTAATAACCGGGGGGGGGGGGTGAGCGTGTGCTGAGCGGCAATTTAATCATTTCACCGCCCGCTCCCCTTCCTTTCTCCCGCGAACTTTTCTTCTCTGACCGGCTGTTGTTGTTCAACGAAGAAAATCCGGTTGGATCGCGGAGCGATACAATTGTGGTGCAAACTCTAAAATGTTAAACGCCAATCGGGAATTGTAACGTATCTAACGATACGTTACGCAAGCGATTCATTTTTATTAGAAACAACGTGAGACAGAGCGTAGACGAAGTGGTGACGTTATCATCGATTTCGTGCGAGGAAACCGAGCGTTTTATTTAGTTTATCTTACAAGAGGTTTTATCTTAGATAAGATAAGAAAAAAAATAGATGAAATAATTATATATATATAAAATTATGGATCGCAATGTTGCTACATTATACGTACAATGTTACGTACAGTAAGAAATGTTTTTTTTTCGATGGTTCGCGTTGCTGTTCTTCCCCTCCCCCGTTTCTATTAAAAATAATGATGACGCGATCGTCCTTGAACTATGACTCGGAGAATCGATCGAAATCGCTGCGTGAAATCTCTCAGCAGCTCGGGTCTCGTGCGTCTTCTCTTATGTCGTTACGTCGCGGATTATTTATATCACGAAGAAAGACAGATGCTCGTGTCACGGAAGAAAAGATGCAAGTTTGCGATACGAACGCCAAGCTTTACCCAATATCAAGATTCGAAGGGCGTTCGAATTGCGCGTTGAGAAATAACCGGAAGGATAACGGACGAAATCGAAAGCTGCGAGCGCAATCTCTCTCCGAAGGTTGGAAACCTTCCGTCCTGTTTAATCTGCCACGGCCAGCGTCGTTTTTTAGCGTCGCTGAACGAAGCGAAAACTTCGGTAAACGCGAGTGAACTTTAAATAGAGGAGGTGTGCACCTCGAGTTGCATATATATATATAGTCGACGCATCGAATCCAGCCCGTTTAAAAAACCAGTCCTCGTTTTAACTCGGTTATATGGCAACGTGTTTCGCGATGGAGGCACGTTTCGATCCACGCGAGCACGAATATCGTGACAATAATTTTTATGCTTCTCTTCTAAACGGTATCGCAATTGTCGCGTGTGATTGACGTGTCGTAAACTGTTATATTATTTTCCACCTGATTATTATATTTTAGAGATGATTTACCAGCTTAAATAATACTTTTTTCTTTTTGTTTTAACTTTATAAATAAGTTTTCTTTATCTTGGTTATCGCTCGTTTCGTTATCTTGATTTATTCTTCTTCGTATCGAAGAGCAACGTGATTTGATAGAAGATGGAATCATGAGCGGCGTTCGTACGAGTTCAACGATCTGTTCTTTCAATCTCAAAGGGGGACTTGTTACGTATTCAGGCGTTAATCGAGGCTGGCATAATTAACTCGAGTAATTCGTATCCAAGAGAGGAGGGAGGTAAAGAGACGTGAAAATCCTTTCAGTCGGATCGTCCCGATCCTCGTAGGCTGAGGTTTTATGTAAATAGATGTGTGTCAAGAATAATGGCTTTTCCATTCTACGCTCCCGCTTGAATAAATTTAATTCTAAACAATTTAATATTCATGAGGAATTATGCGCGTCGTATTGTATGCACGTACCCGGACGATATTCTCAACAACAATTTTTTCCTAAGAATTTTTTATCCTTTAAACTCGAAATGTACTCGATGATCTCTTAATAACGAGAGAAAAAGGAGAGAGAGAGAGAGAGAGAGATCTCCAAACACGAAGAACGCGGAAGGGAGCATGCCTTTGGCGAATTTGGAACGGGCGATAATCGCAGTCGTAACGAACCAACTACCAACTCCATCTTGGCAGCATTCCGCAAAAACCAACAATGAAACGAAACAATCTCTTGCGTAATCTTCATCTTCACGGAACGGAAGAAAATTGTCGTTGAAAACGGTCTCACGCAATTACTGTTATACACATCGACGCGTTGAATCGTTGTGCGTGTAGTGAAAAACTGGCGCGTACAGAGAAACTGTAACGAAATTGTTCGCCGACCCATTTCCTTGATCTAATCAACTCCCCCTCCTCGAAGGTGGCGGAGGAACACGGCAAGGGCCGCGTTATCGGGAAAAGGAGTCCATCCTTTTCTTCGCCGCGTTCTCGTTCTCGTGGAACAAAGAGCAGACGAGGGGGGAGAGGGAGCAGAGAGAAAAACCATGTCGCCTTTCGCAACCCCCGGAATGGAAAAAAAAAAAAAAAAGCAACGGGCCAACTATCACGAAAGTAGTAGTAGCAGCTCTTTTATCTCGTCGCCGTTTCCTTGATCCACCGGCGACGAAAAGCCAACTGATTTATAACGACCCGATTCTCACCCCCGCGGAAGATTCCCGAGTTTATTTATCGATCCGAGCAGAGAAAGAGAAAAGGAAGGTTGCCCCTTCTCTCGAATAATTCCACCCTCTTTCTTTCTACCGACCACGACTCGAGTCGAGTGCGCGTCGTGTCTTTAACCCTTTCGTTTCGACTATAATCGCTCTGCACAAGATGCAGCGTATCGTACGACGCGACGAGTTGACGATATGACGATTGGAGGTATTGCGCGTCGAGTGAGTATCTTTCTCTGGCATCGATATTTTCTTCTTATCGTCGATTTTCTTTTTTTTTTTCTTTTCTCAATAAACACGGTCAAAGCAACGATTTTGTCCTCCAGCACTGTGCGCATTTTTGGCGGCTCATTGAGAAGTCGCCCGTAGCGAAAGGGTTAATAAAACGGAGCGGCTATTTATCTCGAGGGATCGAAGGATGATGGTCGTGCCGCTTCCGGCCCTCGTGATTCCAACGAGATTCCAAGCCAGAAAAGTGAACGAGGTGCATGCCGCATCTCGGTTCCCTTTTCATCGTGGACGGACTCTCGAAGAAGACGAGGAGGAAGACGACGACGACGACGACGAAGCGGCTCCCTGTGAAAAGAAAAGAAGGGCGATGGGTTCAAACTGGGGTGGTTTCTTGGAAGTCTCGGAAGGGAGTGGAGGGAGGGGAATGGTGGTTGGTCGTGGTTCTCTTTCGAGAAGGGGGTTTTGAAAAGAGAAGGAGGGGAGGGGGGAGGGGGAGGGAAAGGGGGCAAGGGTTGCAGTTTCTAAAGACGCTTACGCTTCTTCGCGAAGCCGCGGCGAGGAAACCAGGCTGCCGCCGCCTATATTTACTCATTTTCTTTTCCCCGTTTCTCAAAGGGAGCGTCCTCTTGGTCTCGTCGTCGCTCGGCGTAAAAATGCGCGGCTATTCCTAAAGTCTTGCCTAAAGGCTTAACCTCGCGTGCTCCTCGTAATCCACACCTCGGCTGAGCATCTCGTTTCCTCGTGGTTCCTCGTTCCTTCCTTTTTCCTTTTCTTTTTTTTTTTTTTCTTTTTCGTCGTCCTTCCCCTCGCATCTTGGAAATTTTGGAAGCTTCGAAGTTTCGATTTTCGAAAATGTGTTTCGAACGAAGGGTTAAACGCATCCGCGTGTCGGCTATAAATTTTCGGCTATAAAATCTTGGAGATTTGTGATTTTTCGAAAGAAGTTCGTTTGTTCGAAGAATTTTTAAAGAATTTTTTTCCTCGAGGAGGGGGAGGAATTTTTCTAGTTCCTTTTTTTTTTTTTTTTTGGAAGACGTCTTCGTTTTCTTTCCTGAAAAGTGTTTTATCCGGAAAAAGAGATGTATTTTTATGTCGCTCAGGGGGTCACTAAAGAAGTTCCCGGAGAGGAAAGTTTTCCTGATAACGATTCGTCTTTGACGACAGGTAACCATTCGTCTCTTGGAAAATGAACGAACAGCGAGAGATATAATAGAGATTGATTTAATCCTTTGAATTATCGCCTTTTCGAAATTAGATATTATAGCGATTTGTTGATACGCGAGAAATAACGCGACGTAACATTTTTCAATCTGTTTTCTAATATCCGCATAATAACGGAAACGAAACGGAAAGAATGAATGGGCAGAAAGATTGCGAGAGAGAAAAATAAAAAGAGAAAGGAGGAGAGAAATCATTTTTCTCGGACGATACTCGCGAAAAAACTTGGGGGAGGGAGGAGGGACTTTGTTCGTGGTTTGGTGCCTTCCTTGGCACGTTCCTTCTACGCTTTAACTATCCCACAGTTTTATTTCCGTCCATAAAGTTCCCCTCCCCCCTCTACTGATTTTCTCGTGCTATCTCTACCGACTGATTTAAAATTTGGCACGGCTTGGTCGAAACTCTTATCTCCGCCAATGATATTTATTTCTATTTTCCCCCGTTCAACGATTCCTCCCCTCCCACCGTAAACGCGGCGTCCACGGGAGATTGAACGGGCCCGAATTCATAAATCATGGGCCGAATTAAAAGGAATCCTCAGAAATCCTGTATAAATCGTGTTTCTTGCCCGAGGAGACGAGTTGGTTCCCGAGCCAAGTGCGGAAAAAGCGGTGCGAAAACGGGGGGAGGAGGGTTGGAGACACGCAACCATCCGAAGGGGAAAAACTACGGCAACCGTTGGTTTTTTGTCTCGCGTCGAGAAACGTCTGCTCCCCGCGAATTTTTCCTCGAAGTCGACGCCCCCGTTTCTTTTTCCTTCGCCCCCTTCGAAATCCGTCCCACGTTTTCGCGAAGAACTGTCGAAGGAGTGTTACGGTGCTCGTTTGCTAAGGCGAATCCTTCCTCGAGATCGATCGTCGTTTCCTCCACGAACATCCTAAAACTTTGGGTGTCGGTGTGGTAAACGCGGTCGAATCGTATATTTCGAATCGGATGCTCCAGATATATTTCGATCACGTAGCCCGAGCGACGCGGAACACGCGGTTTATGTGCTCGACCACCGATAAAGAAAATATCCCCTCCTATTTCTTGTAAATATTTTCCCTGGCGATCCGCGAGATTACTCCGGCAAAACGTCGTTTCCACGAGCGTAACGTAGTATACGGATATACAAGCTCCGATTCCGATCGATGGATTTCGTTACTATCGGGGATTACACGAGTGTGTTCCACGTGCCAAAAGTGGTTGTCGGGTCGTAAAGGTTGATTTGTCAACCGTTGCGCGCGGTATACGTATTCTTGAAAGAAACTTGGAAACACGACTCGGTCGTGAGATCGAAATTCGGTCGCGTGGTTGACGGTTTCATTTATCGAATCGAATCCTTGATTAACGATATTCCGAAAATCTGAACGTTTGGAAAACGAGGAAAAGTGTATTGTACACGCGGGAACGAATCCTGTTTCTCGAAACGGAAGCGAAAATAGGGAGGAGCCGGGCTTTCCGTTCTCGAAACGGAAGACGAAGACGTTATAGAGGGAGGAGTGGGAAAAAAATTATGCGGCTAATCAAGAAGCGCGGGTGTCGTCGTTCTCCGCTCGATGTATCTCTCCGCAAGAAGATCCGCCGCAAGAAATGGGCGGATCTGGCTCGAGTGGCCGGGTCAAGGGGTGGTTTTAGAAGGCAAAGGAGGGTAGATGGAAACGTGGAGGGAAACGGGCGCGGCCCACATCCGACTTTATGAGCCGCCATCACTCATAGAATCTTCGCCGCAATCTTTCGCGAGAATCCCTTAGAGAGGCTTGCACAGGGGGAGGGAGAAAAATGTCCGAGGGTTTGGAGAATCGATGAGTTTGCATTAAACATCTCCCAAACCGCCGGAGCAACCCACACAGGAGAGAAGGATACTGCTGGGGAAAATGGTAACCCTCCTCCCTTCCAACTCCTTCGAAGAATCACGAATCCACAGATCCCTCGAGGTACGAGCGAGCCACTTGGAACGAGCGTTTCATCAGGTAGGCCAGGCACGTGCGATTCGCGTTGTTAGGAAAATGTTTCGTTGGTGAAAGGTTTGAGAGAATGGAAACTCACTCTCTCTCTCTCTCGAGTTCGAAGAGGTTCGAATTTAGTGTATAACGTATCGGGGAGAAATTGTGAAACCGCGACCAGTATGGAACGTTTCGTTTCCCTCGATACGATAAGGGGAAGGATGGTTGATCGTTGCGGTTGTTAAATTTTCCGATTTCGATCCTCTTCCAGCTTTTTTCGTTTAACGTGAAATTTATTCTTTTTTCGATACAGTTTCGATACTCGCGAATCGCGTTCAATTCGAAGGATCGAAGGAAGGATCGTTGTTGAAAAATTTTCGCCTCGCCCGACGAACCATGGATTATGGATTATGGAACGCGTCAAGAATGCACAAGACGCGCGTGGAATCAATCGATGTATTTCATTAAACCGAGAGAGAGGTAGATATCAATGAAGAAAGAATATTCCATAAGTAGGAAAATGCTTAATAATCGTGTCATTATTTTATAACTCGATTGATAATTTTCTTTTCTATCGATTAATTAACAGGCAAGGATTTTATACTTCGACGAACGACTAGAAAAAACTATCGTAGAAATGGAAACAACAATATTCGCTCTCTCGAATAGATCAACAAACACACAATTCGTCTATTATTTTCTTCCATCTTTTCAATCATTCTTTTCAATCGAACGATCTAAAAAAAAAAAAAAAAAATGAAGTAAAATTCGGTACGTCTATTCTCTGAAAAATATAAAAATACTCGACGTGCGTGCAGTTAATATATACATACATACATATATATATATATATATATATATATATATATATATATATATATATA